GCCAACCGGAAACACAGGCCGTCAGGAGGCGCCTACTTTGATGAGGCCGCTGTGGTGGCGGTCGCCGCGGCAGGGGCAGCCTGTTTTCTCTTCACTTCGCTGTCCGCCACGGTGCGTATAAAGATGGCGGGTTCGGGTGGGTTGGGAATGTCTCCGTATTCGAACATATAGGAGGAGGCGATGGCCAACTGAGTTCCGTCCTCAGAGAAGTCCAGGCTGGAGATTGAGGTGGGATACTTCTCGAACTGGGCCAACCATTTACGGTTAAAGCCATCCCACGTATTAACCACACCATCGGAACCACCTGGGTGAGGGAAAAGAACAGGCATTTTTTGTAAGTTACCGGCATAAAATGTGGTTAATCACGCGTTTGGTCAGCAGAACGCACTTCAGACAATCAAAAAGCTCGAACATTGCGAAGCTTGATTCCATCGCAGAACAGAGGGGAAGGAAAGCTGGACTTCAAGGCAGCTACGCACGTCACGCTTTGGGATTTACTAATCAAAGGATTTAAGAGCTATCTCATACGGCATTATGCAACTAGTCATACTACAACGCAACGGACCAATACCAGCCATTGTCAGAGATTTTACCATACATCCAAATTGAGGCCAGTTTTTTTGCTATAAAAATGCTCAGACGCCTTATAATATTTCATTGCAAGCAATCATTCTATTATAGACATTGGAATACACACAAAAACAGGAGGACCGAAAAAGCCATGTTTGACTTACTAGTCATCAATAGTCCGGCACACTCAACTCAAGATCTTTTATTATGCACTGGACTGCTTCCAATCGCAAACGAAAGGATAGCATGCCCATGGTTAGAACGTTTAACTTACTGGGCACAAGATCCCAGACTTGAGTCCCGGGTATGGAGCTCCTGGGGTTAGGTATGACTGGCCGACGACGGCTAATAAGCCAAAATGAACTATGTCGGTCCCCCGTCTTTGTCAGTAATCCATTACATGCATATGCGACTGCTTGCGGGGGCTCTAGAGCGAGCTACAGGGCACGACGGGACAACCTTGCCTCGTCATCTGATGGGCGAGCGCCACTCTAATATAATCATTCTATTGTCTCCAGGACCAGGAAGGCATCATATTCGTTACCCTTCCTCATTTCATCTGGGCAGAAGAATGCGATTCCTGAACAGGGAAACTGTTCAAGATTTGCAGCCCTCACTAATAAAACCCGATTGCTCCGGTTAGCTGAAACCTTACAATCAAAAGCCACCAGCCTAGTAGAAAGATCCTTTACAGAGCAAATTATCTGACAAAATGACCTTTAGGGATAAATGCAGACGAAAATAAGCAGGCCTAAGTCGTACACAATTGCATAGCTCGTATGAATCGCCACACGAAATTATACCTGACAAGACAAAGGAGGTGGAGCTGCTAGTCACTTGCCTAAAGTTCTCTGCTGGATAGATGTTGGTAAACACGTGGAAAATCAGGAGGGTTGTGATGGCAGGGTTCGTAAACATCGACTCAGATCGGTACTGTTAAATCAAACTTAGGGCTGCGTCTAGGTCTTTTAAAGCGCTCAGATGATGGCTATTTTGGAATGAGACATCGGACAGAAGCCCCAGAATAATTACCACTTAAATGTAGAAGCCTGTCACAACACATCGTGTCGAAAACCCTCCAATGGAACTGTTAGCATAGTTATTAGCCCAATCACATCTTTCTTCTGTAAACCGAGTAAATGATTACTATAGTAAACACCTGCGACTCCTGACTTTTGTTCAATCAGATGCACACGAGACCAGCCTCTAAATCCCGCTTGTTGAACTTATATGAAAAATAAAATATCGTCTTATCGAAAAATTGCTACGGTAAAAAATGAATTCAGAATTTGGTCAGGTTTAGCCTAACGCAACTAAGCTGTACCACAACTACCGGTCGGACTGATCAAAGTGACATTTCACAGATCAGAAATCAGAACATAACGATAGTCGCGCCGCAGCTTCCGGAGAGCGAATTGGTAAGTGATTTCTGTCAGCTGATCACATCAAGTGGGCAATAAACTGAAACCACAAGAAGACTGTTGGCAGAATGTTCGCCCGAGGACGAGATAGGAAGGAAGGGAGGACTTGAAACAGTCGCGCCGGGCCTGCAGCATGGATATAAAGTTCGGACAGCAAAGGATGACCGCAGGTTGGTAAAACTGAACCAATGGTGTACAAGTTGGCCCACTCGTACTGCACGCGAGTAATCAATCAGTTAATCGGCTTACAAGGCTTTTGCTAACGAGCAGGAGCCTTACTTTCAGCTTACTGATTGTACTCCAGCCCTGCTTCTCTGAATTTGAGTTGACTGAACTGATTTAATTCACACATCCATGCAATGTCGAAAACACCTCAACTAAACGGTTGGAACAAGAGGTCCGAGCTCCAATACCTCACGCAGCCCTAGGTGAACATGCTTAGTTACCACTTAGCCTATGTACGAACCAATTGGATGTGAACTAATCTCCTTCTTACGCCCTTAGTCTTGCCAACGAAGTTGTGAGGCCATTTGGTGCAATTTCAAGCAGTTAATTTAGTCAAGTACAATGGAACCTCGGGTTAACGAGTTTAATCCGTTCTGTCACCGAGCTCGTCATGTGAAACACTCATCTTGC